TTGTGTAGGAGTGGTTTCAATCCCTGAAGTTGTTATTGATTAATCTTGTCTTTCCTGGCACCCAAGGTGACCACAGTGACTCTAGAAAGAATGGCTTCCAGTGAAGACACATACAAAAGGAAGGCAGAGATGACAAGCTTTTCTTCTGCAGCTCATGAAGAGGCACATCTTTTGAAGATGAATCTGGAAAACAACATTCCAGACGTGGATAAAGGCTAATTGGCTTTTAGATTTCCCCTTTTGCAACCCATACCATTTTCTGGTTCTACCTACCATGTCCACCCTTTCTGTTCCTTTCCCCAGTTCTTGTCCACCCTTGCTCCATTTTATAGAAAGCTCTTACAGTCTCACCTTTGTTCTCTTCTCCATCCTCAGTCCTTCCAACTCCAGTCCCATCAACTCCAGTCATCCGTCATCAACTCAGTCCACCATCCATCTGTGTTCCGAGATCCACTTCTGACCCAGCCTTTACAACCCCAGTTGTCATATTTTTACATATTTCACTTTTTTGCTTGGACTTCAATTTCAGTATTCCACATTTTGTTCTATAGCTGGGATGACAGGAATACAACACCATCACCAGCTTCTTCCATCAGGATGGAAGCTCACACCAGCCTCTTCCATTGGGTTAGCCTGAAACTGTGATCCTCCCAAACTGAGCATACCTCCTCTCCATGGAGTTATAATGAGACGCCTGCACCAACTGTACCCAGGAATTGGTTGGAAAGGGCACGAGAATGCTGTGCCTCAGCTAGCTTCAAACCATGATCCTTCTGATCTCAGCTTCCCAAGCATCTAGGATTACAGGAAATGAGCCATGGTACTGGCTCACATTCATCTCTCAGATGTCCAATGTCCAATGTCAACCATTACTTTTTCAGGGAGGAGGTTCATTTCTTCTTCAGTTTCATTGAGTGCAGATCTCAATCCTATGCTCATCATCAGGAGAGAATTCTCAAATCACCTACACAAGCATGAATCACAACATGTTCCACTGGACTAGACTTCAGCCAGTCACTCCACTGTCCCAGATGCTGATTACAGCCTCAGAGATAGTTATAGAGATGTGAATGTCGGGTGCAGGTGGTTCAAACCTGTAACCCTAGCTACTCAGGAGGCTGAGATCTAAGGATCATGATTTGAAGCCAGCCCAGGAAGGAAAGTTCATGAGACTCTTATCTCCAATTAACCACCAGAAAACTAGAGGTGGCACTATAGCTCAAAGTGGTGTAGAGTACTAGCCTCGAGCAAAAGAGCTCAGAGACAGTGCCCAGATGATAAGTTCAAGCCCCATGACCAATCAAAAACTAAATGATGTAAAATGTCAAAAGGAATGCACTGGCCCCTTTCTCTTTGGCGGATAGTCTATAGTAACAGCAAAAACTTCTTCAAGGCACAGTCTTCTTGCTTTCAAAATCCACCTAGAAAAGAGGAACCAAGGAACCCACCCACCCATGTCATCTTCACTTATAGACATGATATAGGACAAGGAACATGGCGCTGGGGTTCATTCAAGCCGAGTTTGCCCAATCCTTGCATGAAGTTATCTACTTCTATCATTCATCAGTGGCTAAAAAATAAAGGACAATGATTTGAACTATTGCAAAATTTTACATTTCTGACATAAGCTACAGCCTTTATAGATCTATTTCCTAACTAACTTGCCATCGTATACATCAAGAAGAGGTTTGAATAAAAGAGCAGCCAACAATTATCAGGCAGGAAAAAGTTCCGCCATCTCAGATCTCTCTGCCTATCTCATGCTTGCTCAACGTCACTGCCTCTCAAAGCTGGCTGGCTGGTCACCTGCCTTGCAGTCATTTCTACAACTTGAGATTCTGATTAGCTCTAAAATGGTGGTAGGAATCTGTATTGTTGAGGTGGTGTTGATGGTAGATTTAGGGATTACTGACCTTTCCGGACAAGAAGCTGGGGATTCCTCTACAGAGTGATTCATGTAGATGGCCAGGACTTTTTCTTCACCCTCAAGCTGCTAAAACAAGATGATTCATGGCCCACCTCCCCCCCACCTTTTTTTTTAATCTCTGTTAGGAAAAGCAGAAACATGGAACTCTACAGTGCTTCTTTCTTTTCTTCTTGAGTTTGACCTCTAGCCAAAGCAAAAAGTGAATGTTGCCATTCAAATAAGGTGACTGATTTCTCAGACTAGATCTACAGTGTGTGTGTGTGTGTGTGTGTGTGTGTGCACGCGTGTGTGTGTGTCTGTGTGTGTTTGTGTGTGTCTGTGTCCATGTCTGAGTCTGTGTGCACACTGATGCTAGGGCTTGAACTCAGGGACTGGGCCCAATCCTCTACTACTTGAGCCACACCTCCATTTCCCTTATTTTTTTTCGGTGGTTGATTTGAGACAAGAGTCTCAGATTTTCTTTGAAGGGTTGAGGCAGATGTTTCATTCCTGCCCAAGGCTGGCTTTGACTGCAATCCTCAGATCTCAGCCTCCTGATTAGCTGGGATTACAGTTCTGAGCATAATTTTTAGAGCAATACTGAGGGGTCCTTTTCTTTAATGACACCCAGGTTGACTGCTCCAAACTCACAAGATATCCCAGCACAAACTCAGGAAAAAAAGTTTTTATAGTAAAAAATAAATAAAAAATAACAATAAAAAGATTTACCTTCTACATTCCAGATGGAACTATATTGAAGGCATAATCCAGAACTTTTAGAGTTCTAGATATCTACTCTAGAAATAAGCCCTTTCATTAAGAAAATGCACAGAAACATGGTCCCTGCTAAGTAATAAGCCCCTGATCTTTAAAAACTTGATTTGGGTTTGAAACCAAGGAGTCAAATAAATGACTGGAGTATGGACCCCAAGTCCAGGTTTGTTCCCTGAAAACTGTGTTGTTCTGCACAACCTCACCCCAAGACTTCTCGCAAAGTCTCCAGGGATGCACCTCTCTCATCTGTCATACCACATGGCTTCTTATTCTTCCACTCAGGTGTTCAAGATGTGAAAGCCCACAGGATAGTTTTCAAATGAGTGTATGTAGCCTGGAGGTGGAAGGAGGCCCTGGAGAATGAAAGGCTGAACTGGCTGGGTGTTGGCTTGGTGTGGGCTCCCAACTTGGCGGCTGCCAGCTCTGCCTACTCCCCCTCTCTCTCTTCTGTGCTGGGAGAAGAAGCTTGACATTCCAACAAAGGCTTGAGAAACAAAAGACCCTTCTGGGAAATGACCCTCCCACCCCTCACCCATACCCCCACCCCGCATCTCCTGCCTTTAGCCCCGAGTCTCAGCCCAGCACTATTGCCTCTTGAGCAAAAACTAAAGTCTGTGGATGATGAATACTAAACCCCCTAGCACTCAAAATGTGAAAATCCGCCATTACTGGAGAGTGACACTGTGTCGCGTGCTAATCGGATTAGAGCGCAGGGCTCAGGCTGTCACTCAGAGCCCCTCCATCTCTGACTTCTTCACGCCAACAATTTTATTTGCTTAATCTTGGGTGAAGAGATTACGGATTTAGAGATGATCGTTTAATATCCCTGACGTTTCTAGTGAGAAGACACATTCCTTCCTTCTAGACCCTTCTTCCTCTGCCCCCAGCACTGCACGCATGTGCACACACACACACACACACACACACACACACACACACACACACTCACATACCTAGAATACAACATATCTAACCCCACATACCACACATACCTAACATACACACCACATCTCAGCATGCTGTCACACTCATCTGTGCACTCAACACAGATACAACACATGGGCAGCACCACACATACCCATACACCCAAACACAGTTGAAACAACACACACACTCAACCCATCCACCTATTCAACACCCACTACAAAACACATACTCCAAACACACAGATATAACGCACACAGTACAGCACACACAGTACCACGCAATACCTAAACACACCAAAGCACACACATACATTGTATAAACACTATACACGTACTTTCAACACACATATTAGACACAATAGTTTCACAACACACACACACATACAGCTATGCCAGGCACATCAATACAATGCACCTGTTCATCACACACAACACACATAAACACGCTCACACCAAAACACACACAATACAATGTATACACACTACATATAACTAAACACAACCATCTTACAACACACACAGGAAGACATACTTTTGATTAGAACAAAAGCCCCTCATTTATCTCTAGCTAATATCAAAGAGTCAGAAGTGTCAGACATGTCTGGTGATAGGGTACATGAATTTAATCATGGCAGGAACAACATGTGTTCTAAGCTAGCCCAGGCTACATAGCAAGACCTTCTCTTTCCCCCCTTCTCTCTCTCTCTCTCTCTCTCTCTCTCTCTCTCTCTCTCACACACACACACACACACACACACACACACACACACATACATAAGCATACAGATGTGCAGGTGCGTACCTGGAGCCAGGATCCCATTAAAAAGCTCCCTTTGTCACTCTGATGGTTTCCTCCATTTATAATTTGCTGGCGCTCCATGCAGGTTGACTATGGACCGATCGTGGTAACTGTGACTGAAGATGGCTGCCATCTTGTCAAGTAGAAGCCATCATAGGAGGCTGAACAATGGACAGGAGGATTACAGTACAGTCTGAGATGCAAAAGAAGTGCAAGACCCTGGAGCCTGAGGCGTGGCTCAGTGGTAGAGGACCAGCTGGCAAGCATGAGGCCCTGACTTAAAACATCAGTATGGGGCTGGGAAGGTGGCTCAGTGGTAGAGCGCTTGCCTTGCATGCATGAGGCCCTGGGTTCGATTCCTCAGCACCACATAAGCAAAAAGAAAAAAGCCAGAAGTGGTGCTGTGGCTCAAGTGGTAGAGTGCTAGCCTTGAGCTGAAGAGCTGAGGGACAGTGCCCAGGCCCAGAGTTCAGGCCCCACGACTGGACCCAAAAAAAAAAAAAAAAAAATCAGTATGAATTTTAAATTCAATTAAATAAAGAAAACAGTGTAAGACTCTAGCAAAAAAAAACCCAAAAACAAAAACTAAAGTACTTGATTCCACAGCTATCCATATACTAAGACTGGAATGGTACACAGAAGATTATCATGACCCCTGCACAAGGATAACACATGCATTCATAAAGTATTTAATTAAAAAAATAAGTAAAAGCTGGATACCAGGGGCTCACACCAGTAACCTAGCTACTCAGGAGGCTGAGATCTGAGGACTGTGCTTCAAAGCCAGCCCGGGCAATAAAGTCTGTGAGACTCTTTTCTCCAATAAAGCATTCAGAAAAAGCCAGAAGTGGAGCTGTGACTCAAGTGGAGGAGCACTAGTCAAGCACAAAGAGGCTCAGGGACAGTGCCCATGGCCCTGAGCTCGAGACCTGGGACTGGAAAAAAAGAAAATACATACAACAAAAAGGACTAAGGGCCTGGCTTAGGCAGTATGATGTTCATGAAACCTTGGATTCAAACTCTGACGCTGCAAAAATAAAGAAATAACTTTTGAAAGGAGTAAAACACTTAGAAGTGATGTGCCCAGGTCTCAAGAAGCAGTTAAAGGCCTACAGATGACATTCAGGAGGGGAGAGAAGAATGGCTACCAGAGCTCCCTTAAAGGAAACAGAGCAGGACAAAACTAGCAGGTGACTGTGGAAGATGATGGAGAATCAGCAGTCACCGTAGACCCTGAGGTCCCATCTTAAGTGCCAAGAATATCCCCTTCATTATCTCTCAGGTCCATGACTCAGAAGGCCAGACTCCAGGATAATCAGAGTCCTCTCAATGTGTTTCAGCTGGACCTTCCATGCAGGCTTCTTACAGGCTGAGCAGCAGCAGACTGGTCTTCTCCAAATTATGAGCAGACTTTTGTTCCTTTGTTTGCAGGACTGAGGTTCTACTTTCCTTAGTACAAGGCCTTCATCTTCAAGCTGCCATCACTTGCACCCCATCCCCACTCTACCAGGGATCTATGACTTCCCCTCTGTTATGAGCTAGAGGAAAAAATCTCTGCTGCTTGTATGATTAGATTAGGCTAATCTAATAGTCCAAAACAATCTCTCTCTCTCTCTCTCTTTCTCTCTCTCTCTCTCTTTCTCCTTTCTACAGTCTTTATGGGTTAGTTTAAGTAATCTTGAAACCTTTAAGCCAATTGATTAATAATCATAAATACACCTGCATGCAATTTATCAATAGGCAACATCAAAGAAGGAAGAGATTTCTAAGAATAAATACCAATCCACCATGAGATGCTCTGTCTCACAAAATACTAAACCCTCCATCCAGGAAAGAATCGATCAACAGTTTCTAGAAAAGCTACCGGAGAAATTTCTGCACTGGAGAAAAATGAGGCTGAAGATTCTACTCAGCTCTAACGTTCTACGATTTCCATTTCCCAGGTTACTGCCTAGCATGTGGAGCAACATGATGATGGGTTTGAGGAAAATATGATATGTTTGATTCATGGAAAGCGAGACTCTTTCAGAAAAGAATCCAACTCTTCCATAGAGATGTTTGACTTCCTTGGCATGTGGCTTGCAGCGAAACTTGAAATCAAAGTCATGCAGAAATTGGCATTGCCTTTCCCATCTCATGAAGTTATTTGTCCTGAAATTTTTTTTTCTTTTTCTAATGGAAGCATTTAGAGGTGCTCAATACGATACCTCTAGACCAGGCCCTGGTGATTAGGCAATGTTATGAAACACTCCCTTGCAAATGGCTGTTAGAATATCATACCGAGTCATGGTGTGAGGGACCTTTCCCCCTTAGGTGACAGCTAAAGGGCTGAGAGTAGAAACAGATGGTGTGGCCCGTCCTGAGTCTGGGCTTTTACTGATGCTCAATGAGAGAAGAGATTATACACAGGAAGGAGCTCTGCAGAGCAAAGGAGGTAACGGGAAATCTTGAATTTTTCCCTTGGAGGGGAAGATATGTCCACCCAACGCTAAGGTACCATCAGAGTAGAAACCTAGATAGCAAATATTCACCCCAAACCCAGGCCCAGGACTATGTAAGGGGCAGCATGATATCATGATGATCCACTGCCCCAAGCAGACATCCAGTCCATGTGAAGTCAACTCTAGAAGGAACACTGTGGTGGGGACTCATGAAGGTGAGTGTATTTGTGATCTGGTAAAAGGATGGCAGGATGGAGAAGGTTCTATCTCTTGCATGCCATAGAAATGCCTATTTCACACAGTGCAGCTGAAACTGGAAAATGGGCATAAGTGCCAAGGAGTGTCCTCCCCCCCAAAAAAGAGAGTCACAAAGTCTCAGTGAGTCCAGGGATGAAAGAATCAAGACATCCTGTCTTCCTGAGCATAATGGAGACTTCTAGATAGTAATAAATAAGCAGTGGGAAACTCTGGAAGGAAGGCAGAGGAGATAAGTCAATGAGAGGGGCAGGTTACAATAGCAGTTATGATCCATTGTGCCCTCCCCGTGAGCCACAACTTGCTCCATAGAAGTAAGGGAAGTGAGGATCATGGGTGCTTCATCTCCATCAGACCACAAAGGGTGCTCTTGAGCTCAATCCCCTCTCCCAGGTAAGTTACTTTCTTTTTTAACTTCTGCATTTTACCTTTTATTTATTTATCTTTGTATTGTTATTGTAAAGGTGATGTATAGAGGGGTCATAGTTACATAAGTCAGGTTATAAGTACATTTCTCTTTGAACAGTGTCACCCCATTCCTTCACTCTCTCCCAGATTTTCCCTCCTATCCCCACCTAGAAGTTGAACAGTTCATTTTCAACACAAGATCTAGTGAATATCACTGCTGCATTGGTTACCCTTTGTCTCTGTGTTGCCTCCTGTCCTCCCCAAAACAGATAAGCTTTCAAACAAGACAAAAGTTTCAGAAAACAAAAACAGCAACAAAGGATAAAACAAAAAAAAAAAAACAACAACCTTGTTTCCATTTTTGTGGAGTTTGTGAAGTAAGCCAGACCCAAAGAAACATGGTTTCCTTCATTTGTCATAACTAGAATGTGTCTGTAAATCTATAAGTACACTCACTGTATGGTAAAAGACAAACGGAAATACACTTGGGCATGATAAATTATATAGGACTCTAGACATTCACATAGTGAGACCAAAGGAGGTTATTCTTAGGAGAGGATCAAAAAGGCACAATAGCTATGTGCATCTGGCCACATAAAATGGTATTTATCTAACTGTAAGTTACTTTCAGTGACACTATGCCAGGAGACTGGCCTTATCTGACCGCATCTGAAACCAAAGTCATTCATAGCAGAGAATTCCACTGCTGGCTATTGACAATCATTAGACTCTCCTCCCCTGTAGTCACAGAGCTCTACTGAAAAAGCCTAGCAGTATTCCTAATGCAAAGCACATCAGGAAGAATATTGCTGGATCCCTTATCCTTCCTAATGGACACAAAGACACAGCCAGCAAAAGCCATCACCAGTATCAGCCATTGACCCTTCAAGGGAGGGAAAAAGAAGAAAGGCCCCAGACACAAGAGAAGAGTTAACAGGTTGAAGCACCCACTCAAAAGATTATTATAATAATTTTCCAACTGAAAACTCATGGCTATAAGAAGCTCAAAGAAAAAAAAAAAAAAGAAGCTCAAAGAAGCCGAGCGCCAGTGGCTCACACCTGTAATCCTAGCTACTCAGGAGGCTGAGATCTGAGGATCACAGTTCAAAGACAGCCCGGGCAGGAAAGTCCATGAGACTCTTATCCTTAATTAACCACCAGAAAACCAGAAGTGGCGCTGTGAGCCGAAGAGCTGAGAGACAGCGCCCAGGCCCAGAGTTCAAGCCCCATAACTGACATTAAAAAAAAAAAAGAAGAAGCAGCTCAAGGAGGGTGAATACTCCAAGAACAAAACAGATGACTAATACTCAAAAGTATTAATCATTCTCAGGAAGGGCCTGGGAGTGTAGCTCATCAAAACCAAAATGAGGTACCGCAACCCAGGTAGCAGAAGGTCTAAAATGTAATGGATGGACAACAGCAAGTGCCAACAAGGATAGAGAGTAATTGGAACTCTCAGGTATTGCTGATGGATGACACTATAGAGCTCCTTGAGACACATATGGACAATACTCCCTCCGCACCCCCCCCCCCCGCCCCCAGCAGATGAATCACTTGTTATAGGATGCTGCAATCTGGCCTCTAGAAATGTATTCTAGACAAATGATAGTCCATGTTCCCACAAAGCCCAGGAGATAATGGTTTCTTCATCATGACACAAAGCCAACTCCACCCAAGTAAATCTCAGTGATACACAGATAAAAAATATTGTGGTTAGAGTGCTAGTTTTGTGCTAAAAAGCTCAGAGACAGTGCCTAGGCCCTGAATTCAAGCCCCATGACTGACAAATAAAAAATAAAAAGAGCATCATTGTGGTAACTCCACACATTGAAAAGCAAACACGCCTATCCATACAACAGACAGACTGCTCTCTTGAGCATGGAGCAAACGTACAAAACAGGGTTGTTTTACTGCAATGTTTTCATAGACGACTGCAATGTGCTTTGGCTGTCTTATGTATGAGAATGGTGATTAAAGTCCCAAATGAATTTGATGTATGTAGACTTACTGTCCCTTGTTTCTGGTAATACTGGATTGATGAAATTGAATGCATCAGTATTCAGTACATATAAATTGATCATCATTCTACTTTTCTGGATGGATTGTTTCCTCTATCAATCTGTAGTGTTCTTCTTTCTTCCTTCCGATGAGTTGGTTCCGATGTCTGTTTAGTCAGATGTCCGTGAGTGAAGCTACTCCTGCTTCATTCTCTATTCTTTCTGCTTGGAAGATCATTTTCCATCCACTCACAGCCTCTGTGTATATCTTTCTCAGAAAGCTGTGTTTCCTGTATAACATGAACGTTGCAATCTTACTTTTTAATGCAATTCAGTCACTGGGTGTTTTTTTCCATTTGCATGTTCAGATTATTTACATTTGGAATTATTATGAAAAGGTATAAACCATCTTCTCCCCTTCATCGTAGAGTGTTACTGGTGTCCTGGTGAATGATGCTTGATTGTTTCCTTAACTCTCAATGTTTCCCTATGCTAGTATTCAGAGTGAGTCTTGAACTTTTGGACTTAAGACTTTCTTCTAGTATTCCTTTAGGTGTTTTCTGCAATGCTGGCTTAATGGTCAAGGGTTGCTTTAGCTT